ATGATTAATTTAGTCAGGCGACCTCCCAAATGAGAGATCTCAGGTTCGAAACTCTTTGAATGCTTTCTCGGTTGAACTTGTTGCACAAGACTTGCTTAGTGTGGTTACATTTCCATTGTGATTTGCAGGCTATTACACTGAACTAAGCACTATAGAGAATAACATTGTAGTACCTTTTATCATGCTAAAGCATCATATATTCCTCACCTCAATTGAGGAAGTGCAACTCTGCTACGTACTAAGAATTATCACACATTTACAAATCAGCTTTTGGAAAGATCATTTGAGACACAATACAACAAACTCTTGAATCATCCAGTATAAAAAAAAGCAAAATCAGTAGATACCATACTTTATTTGGAAACCATATTTATATGTACATATTACAGATGAAACCAACATAAATTTTACTAATTTAGTAGTTAATTACCTTTTTTTTTTAATCCTATCATAATTCACACCCTGGATACATGTATCTAACACAGCTAGATACATGTTAGCCAGATACATATAATAAAGTGTATCTAAATAAGGAATGTAATTGAAGTAATAAATTAAAAAGAAAATCACATGTGTAACAACTTTGGAGTATCTGATGTATGACAATTCCTTAAAAGATAATCAAAACAATCGAAATCATTTCAATTTTTTTTTTGAGATTCAACAAATTTTACACTTTTTCTTCCTCGGAATTCTTCTTCAATAATTTTGAGCTTTTTCTATTCAACAATGATCAATATCACTATGTTGTTGAGATATTCTGAAACAATACATCAATTAATATAACCACCAGTATCGTTGTCTATTCTCAATCTTGTTTTTATTACGACAATGAAATAGTCTTAACAAAACTTCAATATTTGCATGGAAAACCACAAATTGTATGTCAAATGGGTGGGTTGGGTTAAATTTGGGCGGGCTGAAAATGGATCAACACAAAAATGGGTAATAATTCAACCCGCCCATAATTGATATGGGTAAAAATGGATTGGGTAAAATACTAGTTTACCCATATTTTACCCATGTTTTCATGAGTAAATATTACTCTACTTAAAAATTCAACATGGAGAAAATATTTTAGTCTTTTTTTAGATGAAAAATGTTGAAAATGCTTCATTTAGTTTTATTGTATCATAAAAGTCAAAAAAAATAAAATCCCAATTTTTCAATATAAAATAAATTTATGTAATAACAAGGGGAATTTTTTTTTAATTTCAAAGTAAATGAATAGTTACATTTTAGGACTAAAACACGCTTAATGCACTTTAAACAATGTCAATACTAATACATGATTTGCTTATTTTACACTAT